GGGTAACTAAAATTGGCTGTGGCAGGTTCCAATTTTTTTAATGTCTTATTTCCTTTGATAAAATATTTCTTACCAAGTTTGCATCTTGCATACTGTATACATTACATTCACAGATTCTTACTGCGAATGATTGGAAAGTGATAATAATTCTAAGACTATCCTTTTGTAAATAGTGAAAAGAATTGGTATTCTCATTGTATTTGTATAAGGATCTTTAGGTGGTACCTGCACAGTAATCAGGCATAATGATAGCAGTAGCAGCCCAGATGGCTGCTATGGGGTCTGAGGTGAAAGGGGCCCTATTAAGTTGTATGAAACATAGAACATGTGAAGATAATGCAGTACTGTATCATTAAGGGTTGGAGTGATTGCAGTTGATGAAAACCCAAATCTCCTGTAAAGTCTATAGTGTAGAGATGACTTAATGCACAAGAGAAGTCTTTGGGATCTTTGTGTCATTAGTCACAGCTCAGAGAGAGGTTGTCAGGGGGGGGGGCCCCCTCATCACATTTTTGCTATGGGGCCCCATGATCTGTAGTTGCGCCCCTGATAGTAACTTTTCAATCAGTTTATGTGTCATAATAAAATTGTTACATATCAAATGGTCCAGGACTCCCTATTTTCAGGCAGAGTCGTTCATTCTTGGCTCATAGACTTCAATAGCAGCGCCTGAGAAATGGGTAATGTGCGTTGTTTCGCGTAATATTGTGGCTAACAACCATCTCCTCCTCCTAGTAACTTACTTTTCATTGACTAAGGGCCCATTCACACCAAAATTGAAAGGAAATTGTAAGTCAACAGAGGGTCCGTTGACTTGCAGTTTCAACCTCCGTTGACTTGCGTTCTGTTGCATTTAAAAAAAAAAAATGTTTGCCAAACTTTATTTTAATTATCATGTCCTGAGTGGACAAACATCTAATGTATTTAAAAAAAAAAAAATGTAACTTCCGTTGCATTGTGATTACATCCACTTTTGTTCCGTTCCATCACATTGCAACAGAATGGAACAGATCGTAGTGGTGTAAACTGGTCCCATTCCCACACATTCATTTTTCGGTGCCCTTGCGTTAGCATCTGTTTAAAAACAGATCTGGTGTGAATGGGGCCTAAAACAAAGACTCTTTAAGCCTGAAAACACCTAAATAAGGCTTTTTAAAGCACCTGAAAACGCTCACACACTAAGTGCAAATGGGGGCATACTAAAACCATGAGCTTTGTGATGGGAGAGAGGGGGGTTGGCATGTATTCATTCTGCAGTGTCTTGCTTACCATTAATGTCTGAAGTAAGTGACGGATTATTGCTTTACGTGTATATTGATAACCTTTCTTAATATTTACTAGTGTGTGCTGAATGTGTATAAGCTCCGAGTTTAATATACAAGCTGTTTCTCAAGGACGTCATTATGATCACCCACTGCATTCCTGGAGGAGCAGCCTCATATACATTTTATATTTCATCTAGTAGATAACATCATTCTTCTACATTCTCCTCTGTGTGGAATGATGGTGCTAGTAGGTTCTTGTTACCAGCTCTTTATATACAATCCCATATAACCTCTTTTTTGCTTTAGTGATGAGACATCTATTCAGAGGGTCCAGATCTGTTTGAAGTGGATATAAACTGTTTGGTTGCCTAGTTTCAAAACATGGAATCTTCCCAGTATACATCAGTGGGCTTGTATTAAAATTACAGCAGATGTTTGTAAAAGAACATTGTCAAGAACACATTGAAGAATAAAGCTTACCCTTGCAGTGGGGCTACCCCGGCACTGCAAGGGTAAAGTGCTCGTTTGTTAATTTAATTTTTTTCTAGTAGACTCACATGATTTTTTTTTTATTTTTTTTTTACTTATCATATCACGACACCCATTGGGATGGTGGGACCAGGTAAATAAAACAGCTTTATTTGAGTCCCCTAGACATAAACGAGCACCCAACCCTTGCAGCGCGGAGGTAGCCTCACTGCAAGGGTATGTTTTTTGTTTAACCTGTGATGGGCTTTGAAGAGACTGTCACCAGCAAAAATGTAGGTAAAAGCACAGAAATAACAAGTATTTTAAATGCTTAGTTGCATTGTTTTTGCTTTCCATAAAGGATTTATTTTTAATGAACTTGCTAGCAGATAGCCATGCCATAGCCCTTTCTCTGGGAATGTCTAATTGCTCTCTGTGCTGGCCATCTCCTCCACCCCTCACCTCCCTACATAAACTTTTATGTAGCTGCCAACAGCTCTGAGTCTGCTGGGGCTGCATCACATCCAAGATGGCGGCACCCTGTAGCAGTCTCAGGGTGTTTGGATGTCTGCACAAGGGAGGCTTTTACAGGAAAATAACATGGCCAAAATACATTAAAGGCTACATTTACTTTTTCTGACCATGTTGCATTATATTCAGGGTGTAACGTGAAACATGGTCAGATTGCAACTCCCCTCCTTGTCTGAGGTAAGGACATGGATGGGAGGAAGAATCTGCAGGAGCGAGAGCATTGCACCCACAATCCAATGTTGGAATGCTTTACTGCTCCAATGCAAAAACATAATAATTGCCCATTTTTTCTATTATGTAGAACTGTGCATTTTATTTTATTCTGAAAAGTGAACTTTACCCTTTAATACACATTTAATCATATGGGAAGATTGTTGGTGAGATGAATGGTCTGGCTACGGGGTTTCTTTAAAGTTACCTGTTTTAATAAATTCCTTAAATTAACCTTCCAACATTAACAAACAGCGGACCTCTCCTAACTGCTTCCCTAAGTCTTCTACTTCCCCCATTCTACTCTTCATTTCAGATTGCAACTTCAATTTATTAGTGCTTCCTAAGCACTATTATACAGATATAAAACTCAGCATTATTATACATTTGTATATTACACAAATGGTTGGCAAATATATAGGGCAAGGATCCAGCTGTTGGCTTTGGGCCTGGTAACAAAGTGTGTGTGTATATAATATTATAGATATATTCTGTAAGCTTACAATTACTTACCAGTATGGTAGCAATTCATTGTCTATGGTACTCTAGCTACGCATTGTACTTTTTATTGATGTAGTTTGAGGCCTCATATAAGAATATAAGATGTTCAACCATTTAAAGCAAAACTCCAGGCAAACAGCTTTGAGTCATTTCTGCTGTGCGAGTCATTTCGTCAGCATGTACGCCGTCACAAGGAGGATGTCATTGAATGAAATGTATTGGATGAGCGGTACATGCTGATGTCGTCATGCAGTATTAGTGAGAGCAACGCCGGCGACGGTGTGGCAAGCGGACTAATATAATTTTTATGTACGTGCATTTTAAAGTTTTAAATAAAGGCGTTTTAGACAGGCTACACTATGAAAAGCATGTGTGTGCTCCTTTGAGCTCCGATGGACCGGATAAATAAGAACACTGACATTGTTGGAGCAGAAAGGGTGCTGTGCTCATTGGGGAGCGGTGTTGATTGACCGCAGGGAGAGACTGCGGGCGGTGTCCAAACTGGGAAGTGACAGCAGAACGGAGGTGAAAGCGTTTACACGGCCTATATTATATAAAGTACTGAAGGACCATCTATAGTTTGATGTCCAATATATTTTGTTGAAAGTGGAGGATAATAAGTGGCACAAGAGTGACATGCAAATCTTTTATTGAAAAGCACTTTTTATTGAAGAGCACCATACCTGGGAGTGGAATTTTTCTATCTCTATGAAGAGGACTTTATATATGCATATTAAGGATACTAACTTTGTTTTATTGGATGTATTAATGTGGATTTGATGAATTGGGATGTATGATTTTTTTTTTTAAGAGGAATATACTGTATATGGATTTTAGAGGCTCACATTAGTTATTTCACTATCACTATAGCGTTAATAGCGGTATAACTATGATTTACAGCGCAGTGCAGATTTGTGTAAATATAATTGTAGTGGACATGCGCTTATTTAATTTGACTAGGTATTAGGGAAACAAACACAGTTAGGAGTGCAGATTATTTCATCATTTTAAAAGCCGCTTCAAGCTTGCTCTTGTAATGGACTGCAATCTCACCTTACTTTCCACCTTTTCTAATTTGTATTGAGATTGTAGTCCATCACAGGAGTGAGCTTGAAGAGGTGATTACTTTACAATAACAAGGGACCATGGGGTATAAAAGTTTCCCCCCTCCAGAAGGAAGGACAGTGTCAGCACCAATTCAGAGATAATTTGAAGATCTACAGCCAAGTGATACACAAATAAGATACACCTTTTGTTACTAGTTAAATGCAATTTTAAGATTGAGCTCCTGAGTTTAGTGTCACTAACATAATTCAGTTAAATTGTGCCCTGCAAGATGTAGATGTCCAGCTGTACTGATGACCCGGGTACGTGACTCAACAACTTTTAGTGTTCTGTTCTCAACAGAAGAATCCTGGCTATTGGATAATTGTGGCAAGTGTTGTGCCGTTTTTGATGAATATAGCAGCTTACACAAATGGCCCATCCTCCAAATTTACCCTGCTTTTACTCAATACGACTTTCCCACTCAATTTGACAGGGCATTTTAGATTTCTGAGAGCTGGATTGCTCTACTAAAGTACATGAAGAAGACTTACCACCCTTTTTGTAAAGGCCAGATCTGTCTATGCTCTAGAAAATGCCATTTACCGATTAACCAGTTCTACAAGTGTGTGTTTTTTAAAATACCTGTGAGCTACATTTCTGAAATTCTAACTACATTTGTATAACAACATTGTTACTAGAAGTCCTTTGTTCTTGCAGTTTGACATTGATGTAATGGTAATCTTTGCCTCTCTTAAGTGTAGTATTAATGTAATCCCTCTGCTCTAAAGTGCAGGCCAAGTAAAGTCTTGTAAACCTCTGGCTAGCCATCTAGTGTGAAAATGTTGCGTTTACTTCTAAGCCTTTAAGAACCAGTTATTATTCAAGTTGACATAATCTGCACCCTCATGCCTTCAATGTGATTGCTAATCTGCAGCAAGATGGCAGGTTAACGTTATGTTTGGTTCATTTCTTTGGCAGAGCGCGGTGCCAGAGGCACACAACGATGTTGATGCTGCAAAAGCAACCAGCAATCAAGTTCTTGAAAATGGACACCAGCCCACGTCTGGTACGTAATATACTGTAGAGATGTAAAGATATACGCGTTTTTCACCTGAGAACAATATGATTACATTTCTCCACTTACTCGCAATGGGAGCCGCCATCATTTTGGTCAAGCCGGTAGTAATTCAAAGGCTGGCTGTTTCAGAAACAGGAACAAATAGGGATACGGATATAGAAAGATGAATATATTTGTGCCAGGGCCCTAATTCATCTCAAACTAGCAAATCCGCATATTATTTTGTAACTAACAAGGTCTATTTTAAAGCCTAACTGCTGCCAAAACAAGGTTAATGAAGAACTCAAAGCATGTACAAAATTAACCCTTGCAGTGGGGCTACCCCCGTGCTGCAAGTGTTAGGTGCTTATATACTCGCCTGATCCTTGGTCCCACCTGGCTGCTACACTGGTCCCTGCAGCCTCTTCTCTCCGGCGGCCTAAGGATCCTTGACATCATGAGAGAGAGAGACTTTTTTTCTATTTTTCAGGCTTTTTTCCACTTATTTTCTACCACTGATGCTGCTAGTAACACACTTCTGTCCTAGGGTGAAAACCCACACGCCTCATACTGTATCTTTGGTGCAGCAGCGTTATCACCCCAGTACCAGGGCTACAATAAACTCCCCCTCTTCTCTCCTCCCCTCCATAAGAGTCAGGATGGGATCTGTAGCCCTTAGAGATACCTGAGAACACTAAGAGTGCAGCACAGAGGGATTAGGAAGTTATTAGTTGACAAGATTTCTGTCAGGATTAAGAGGTATTTTTTGCACTTAAAAATATATAACAAGCTTTCAATGTTGTATTTAAGAGACCAAAAGAGGGCAAATTAGAGACGATTTTTGGAAGAGTTTACATACCCTTTAAGTAGGTAACAGAAGAAACTGGTGTAAAAATTATTTTTGGGGAGCAGGTGGATCGATAGTGACACGTCTTCCTTTTTTTTGCCTAGTATAAGATGGCAGATCTAATGGCCCTTGAGAAAATGTGTTTTAGATGGTCTGTTAAAAAAGTGAACTCAATGACTCTAAAAATACACATAACACACGTTCAATTGCCTTTTGCACATATGGGGACTGCCATTGCTGACCTCTGCTTTTAAAAATGTTAGTTGAAATCCAGACACAACAAATTTCGTCTAAGCGTATGTAGCAATTTTTGTGCCCGGACTTCAGTTTTAAGTGGCATTTATTGCTGGGCCTATGGACATCAAGGGCTCAAGACCAGTTGCTGCTGTCTGTACTTCCGATAATTACACCCAGGGCCGTCCCTATGATATTGATGCAATTTTTGGGTGTAGGAAGGGTGTATGGTGCTGACAGATAATATTCACTTGTGGGCGGCGGCTGGACGCCAGACCACACTGTCAGCGGCTCTGCCTGGCGTCCCGCCCAGCTCTATGATGTCACTCGTTGCTTAGAGCTGAGCGGGAAGCTTTGGCTTGCGTCCCACCGAGCTCCTGGCAACCAGTGAGGTCAGTGAGCTGGGCAAGATGCCAGGCAGTCACAGGTTGCTAAGAGCTGTTGGCAACCTGGGACAATGTGGCCACCCCTCAATGTGATACCACCTGAGGCAAACCACCTCAGGCTGCCTCATTATAAGAAGGGCCCTGGTTCCCCCAATGCCACCTGGATATCAGAGTCTTTCTTTATGGTTGATCATTTGTTTGCCATGATCTATGCTTTTGTTTTGTACATGTGTGTGCTTTAATATGTTGTCATATGTTTTCCTTTGACAGAAAAAGTTGAAGCCACACCGGATTCATCCCCTGCTTCAGTGCAAGAACACTTACCTACCGTGTCTGTCAGAATGCCACACATGCCTGTCACTGCAGTGACCAAAGTATGTGCCGATCCTCCTTCCAGCACAGCAAATGGCAGTGTCCGTCTGCAAGCCCCGGAACCCAAGAGTCCCTTGGAAATGTCACAGAAACAAAGCAGCACGCAAGGTGAGGAAGGCTGGCTGTGGGCTATGGCAGTGGGTGGCCCCCGGCCACAGGCTGGCTATCAAATGATTATTGGGTCTATACTTCAACACATTTTCATAACTGACTGTACAGACCCACCAGCCTAGGTACTGTCTAAACAGCATAGTAAATATGACATGGTAGTTTTAGCTTACACTTTTGCTATGGGTTCCAAAGAAACCCTGTCATAAGATTTATATGTGCAGGTAAAGCATTATAGGCATGTTATTTACCTGTGAAAAACCTCCCTTGTGTAGACATGCTAAAGCCTTGAGTCAGGTGCTGGCTGCTGCCACAACAGCTGGAGTACCAAAGTTGCCTACCCCCTACTTCTATAGTATTCCCCTTTACCCCTCCCCTGGTTACTACATAAAAGGTTATGTAGGGAGGTGAGAGTAGGGGTAGAGTAGATGGGCCAGCACAGAGAGTAGTTAGACAATCACAGAAGATGAGTTGGGCTATGGCAGGAGGGAGGTGGGTGTGCTATTTTCTGGCAAGTTCAGAGGCACATTGCAAGTTGATTAAAAAAAATAATGGAAGGGAAAAACACTGAAAGTAAGCTTTTAAAATAATTGCCGGTCAAAACACTGAAAATCAAGTATCTTAAATTGGTGACAGGGCCTCTTTAAAGCCCAACCCTTTTTTTAGGTTTTGTACAGATTGGGATTGTCAGGTCTTTACTGCTGTCTTTGTCCTTGTTTGGGATATTTACACTCACTTCATGTCCCTGTGATAAAGCATAACAGGACAGGAAGGCGATTGTATATCTTTCAGATGGGGACAGAGAGAGCAAAAGCATCTTTCAGTGTGGAAGGGTTAGAACATCTGCCCAGCATTTATTGTTTTGTCTTCCTGTTCCCAGGAGTAGAAGTCTCTTCTATAAGGACACAGATAGAACCCAAAAAGAAGGCTGCCATTGCTGGCCTTGCCTGGCAGTTATGCTAAACCAGTATCTTCAGTACTTTGTGAATCACAGACCCACACAGAGACTCCAGCTCAGGAGTTTTGACATGTCTTGTTCTGGGTCAGTGACTCAGAGACTATTAAAGTGCATTTTAATAAGAAGGTCAGCAATTGCAGCTACTCAGTACAGGTTTCCTTTAAATTCCAGGCTCTCCTTGTCAATGTTATCTGTCCGTAAGAGTGTACAGAGATTTAAAAAAACAAAACAAAACTCGTGCAATTGCCACCCAAACAGATCGGGTGGATGGTATGTGACTTCCATACAGCCAGCTGAGTTGTCTTAGATTTTGAACCCTGAGCAACCCATCTGACCCAGTAGGGGCTGATGTACTTTATGGACAAAAGTATGTGTATGTCCCTGTTTTTCAGTGTTCAGATAAGGCTCCTTAGTTCCAGTGAACTGTTAATGCTACAGCATAGAAAGACATTTTAAACAAGTGTGAGCTTTCAACTTTGTGGCAACAATAAAAGGAAAGTCCTTTTCTGTTCCAGCATTACTGTGCCCTGTCCACAAAGCGAGGACCATTAAGACATGGTTTAATGTGACGCTTAACTCCAGATTCAAACCTTTAAAAATGCATTAAACTACCCTATTAACAATACTGTACCCTATTTATGTATCACTCAGCTGTAGATCCTCAACTCATCTCTGAATTGGTGCTTACACTGTCCTTCCTTCTGGATGGTGGCTACTTTTGTTCCCCGTGGTCCCTGTGTGTGTTGTAAAGTAGCCACCACCCCAAGCTTGCTCCTGTGGACTACAATCTCACATTTAGTTTACTGATTTGTATTGAGATTGTAGTCCATCACGGGAGCGAGCTTGGAGTGGTGACTACTTTACAACACACACAGGGACCATGAGGAACAAAAGTAGCCCCCCTCCAGAAGGAAGGACAGTGTCAGCACCAATTCAGAGATTATTTGAGGATCTACAGCCGAGTGATAGATACATTTGTTAATAGTTAAGGTACTTGCATTTTTAAGTTTTAACTCCTGAGTTTAGTTTCATGTTAATGATTTTAGTGAGGAAGCACAGAGCCCTGACCTCATCCCTACTAAACGCCTTCAGATTGGTCTTCTCATCCAATACCTTACCTCACAAATGCTCTTGGGGCTACATGAGCACACATTTCCAAAGTCTTCAAACTTCTCCAAAATCTTGTGAAAAGTCTTCCCCGAAGGGTTCTAAAGTGTAAATAAAAGCTGAGGCAATAGGTAGCTAATAGAGACCTATTAGCAGAGCAGCTGGCTGTACATATGGGCAGTATTTTAGCAATTTTAGCCACATTTAACCAGCTTTCCATTTAGAAAATTATTAATTTGATTAATTGCCCTACCAACATCTTCATATGGTTAATAAATATGATGAACCATTGGTTGTATGTTGTCTTGATTCAGTCAATCTATTTTGAGATTGAAACTTGGTTGAAATTTCTAGAATATTGCCCAGCTACCCTGTCTCTTTCGGACAACTTTGGTAAAACTAAAGTGAGACAGTGAAGATGAAGGGTACCTGAGCTACAGATGTCTTGTACTTCAATACACTAAAATGTTTAAGTTGTTAAAGAACAGACTCCCCTTCCTTTGGGCTGACTCCCCTTCCTTTGGGCTGACTCCCCTTCCTTTGGGCTGACTCCCCTTCCCTTTTGGGCAGTCTTCCTTTCCTTTTGGGCAGTCTTCCTTTCCTTTTGGGCAGTCTTCCTTTCCTTTTGGGCAGTCTTCCTTTCCTTTTGGGCAGTCTTCCTTTCCTTTTGGGCAGTCTTCCTTCTTCTTTTGGGCAGTCTTCCTTCTTCTTTTGGGCAGTCTTCCTTCTTCTTTTGGGCAGTCTTCCTTCTTCTTTTGGGCAGTCTTTCTTTCCTTTTGGGCTATCTAATAAGCTTCTCCTTGCCTGTCATAAGAAACAGCACGGTTTTTGTCTCAATTTCAAGAGACAACTTAAATAGGAAACAAAAGTAATGTGCACTTTCAACAACCTCTTTTTTTGTCAGTTCAAGGACATAGAGTGATTATACAGATTTAAATCCTAGGACTAGTTTTGCTAAGGTATTAAATAATAAGAGCATGTACACATATCTAAAGCAGTGAAGAAGAAATAAAAAACTGGTCTGTTTCTTACGCTACCTCTCCAACACTACCTAGGTTTAAACTATCAGTGACACAAAAAAAGAAAATGAAAATTAGACACAATCCTACTTTGTTCCTTAGTTACAATTTTTGTTTTTTTTTCCGAAGGTGGAGAAAGTTTTGAGTTCTCATAATACCATCTAATACAATCTGAAACTTAAATGTGGCCTTTATATCTTAGATTTATACCTTTTTTATTTCTTATTTTACGATTCTGGAAAAATCTGGAAGAATAATTATGTTTTTGTGAATATTATACGAAGTGCAGTTTGAGAGTTATAATTTATAATGCTTCAATATTGATATGTATATTAAACTTGTGTATTTGGATAAAAATTTAATAAATATACCTGCTAAACTAACAAACTTTTGTAGTAGATGGCATGTATCCAATGACTCACACCTGTTCACTCTCTAACTTGGATGTTTCAGCCAGCTTTCAGTAAAAAATGCAAAGGTTGGACACTTCCATTCTCTGCCTCCGCATTGCACCGGTACAGTCTTGTATAGTGGAGTCTTATGGAGCAGGTGTTAGATGGAATGACATCACCGTGAATTCATGCTGCTGACCACCTAATTTAAAGGAGTACTCATATCTAAACACTTGCTCTCTTTCTGCTTTGTGTAACTGCTAGGTGCTGTCAGGACATGGAATGCCAGCATTGTCAGGACAATGGGTGTAACAACAAACTCCGGTGAGAATCTTCTCATGTTTCTTCCTAATTCTCTGCCGCAAGGCAGGGGATTATCTGATGACATGTGAATGTAACCATTAAATATAAACTATTGGGAACACCGTTGATACCTATGATTTGAATGCATTGCAGGTATCACGGTTCCAGTAGTTAATCCTTGTAAAGTGAAGTTTGTATACATGGAGTTATCATTCAGCAGTCTTCTCCATTTTCAGTTTAAATCTCTGGCCTGATTTTAGTGTAATAGCAGCGTAGTGCATTAGGGGTGACACATGCCAGAAAATATCACTGACGGGCCAGTAAATGCAAGAACATATTTTTATAGTTTCTTAAAGACAACAGGATTTTACACCCATAAATAAATCAGGCTATAACATATACATGTTGCCACATTTATTAGCTTTCTTCCCATATGTTGATACACTAATCCGTGACTGATACCCATAAAGCAGGTCTGGATAATGATAAACATAATTGTTTTCATATAGGTTACAATCCACTGCTCTTTTTGTTAAAGTAAACCTGTCACCAAATCAGACATGTCAGCTTAACATCTCACACACACAGATTACCTTATCAGATCATCAGCCATGTTGTGAAGTTCTCATTCATGCCTCTCCATTAAAGATGAGCCTGGGCTTGGTGCTAAGCTAGTTCACCTGAGTTTGCCCAAGCCCGCTCAAAACTATGACCACTACCCCCTCCTCCCGATCCAGTTGGTGGCAGCAGTTGCAGCGGGGGCATTCACAAGCCCTTTCTGACATATAACCACAGGGCAGGAAATGCGCCTCTCCGCCAAAGATCGAGCCAGGAGTTGAGGATGGCAGCCACAGTTTTGAGCGAACTTGGTTGAACTCAGGCAAACTGGTTTCGCACCAAGCCAGGTTCATTACTACTCTGCATCTACAATAGTAAGAAAAGTTGGTGCACGCGGTATTCAAATTTTTACTTTTACTGCAGGTTGTGGTTGATTCTTTTTCCCTTTTGGCTAACGTGTCCTCCCCACCAATGTCTTCTCCTTTACTCATGTGCACCTCCCTTACCTTAATTGTGCATGGATGTGATTTTTTTGTCTGCCACGCAGTAGACTTACAGCTCAAAAGCACACTCCCCCTGCACAGCACAATTAAACATTACCAATTTTCACACATGGTAAAGCGTATAACAAGCTGTTTAATGAGGACATACAGTAGTCTTGACCTTGCAATGAACAATACTTGCTACTTAATGGTCTCAAAATGCATTTTAAAGGACAACTACACCATTAAAAATGAACCTAGCGCATAGTAATATTAATGCTATAGATTTTTTTTTCACATAAACCAAGATTTTGTCACGATCTGCCTTTTTGTTGGCAGTATCAACCAATATGGTGGAAGCTTACATCATTACTAACTGACCGTCAAGTACACAGGAAGTGCTCTACAAGTCCTGTAGATGCGTAAGCCATTTTGCAATTGTTATAAAAATATACCTTTACATTTCAATCTGCAGTCTCTATTATTTTCTGACACTGCTGAATGTTGCTTCCTTGCAGCGTGGAAAACTTTTATATTGCTTTGCCTTTTCATGTTGTTATTTTAAAGAATGTTTAAATGCAGATTTAAACCATTAAGTTTGATATAGTTTTGTTTTAAGCATAACAGTATTTATTTCTGTCCCATCTAGTTTTGAGGGTTACACAGCTCTGCCAGACAGGAGAGCCAGGTTTCTCTGTTGCAGTTATAGATTGTAGAAGGCATCCCCTCTCCACCCCCAGCCTCCTTGTCACTGTCATTGTCACTTAGTCTCTTCACTGCAGAGTATAGGCCATACCTGGTCATCATCCTGTCACTGGAGTGTGGTGCAGAATTAATACGGTATGGCCTGCGAGATGACCAGAAAAAAATGTCCTTTCATTCTTTCCTGCCAAAATGTATTTTGTTGCATGTGCAAAAATGTCCTTATTGTATAGAGATCTCCATACGGGACCTGCCCTCAGTTCAGAGTATAGACCAAAAATATTGGACATACACCGATTGGCCATAACATTTATGACCACTGAGAGGTGAAGTCAATAGCATTGATTATCCTAGGCAGAAAGTGAACATTTTGTCCCTGAAGTTAATGTGTCATTATGGCCAAGCGTAAGGATTTGAGCAACTATGACAAGGGCCAAATTGTGATGGCGAGACGGATGGGTCAGAGCAACTCCAAAACTGCAGCTTTTGTGGGATGTTCTCGGTCTTCAGTGGTCAAGACCTACCAAAAGTGACACAAGAAATGAAAACCAGTGAACCGGTGACAGGGTCATGGACGGCCAAGGCTCATTGATGCACATTGGGGAGCGAAGGCTGGCCCGTGTAGTCTGGTCCAATAAAAAAGCTATTGTAGCTCAAATGGCTTGGTGCCAGATACCACCATTCCTTTAGAGGAGTCCATGCCTCAACAGATCAGATCAGGGCTGTTTTGGTGGCAAAAGGAGGGCCTACTCAATATTAGGCGGGTGGTCATAATGTTATGGCTGATTGGTGTATTGTTGCCCCTATTTCAGTATATCGCTGATTGAATCCAATTTATTTTAGCTATGTAGTATTTTTTTTTCTCATTCACACTTGGGCTCATTCACACACTGACATGTAGCCAGAAATGCTACATGTCCTATTTTTTTTTTCTTCAGCGGAGCATTGTTGTGAACTGCAACCATATGAAATAAGGCTATATGCCTTGTCCTTGTGTTGGGCAACACAGCCAAATGCTTATGGTGTGTTCAAGCCCTGAATGTACATTGGTGTTAAATGGCTCCATTATGGTTTCTGTTAGCTCAATATCACATGCTGGAGCTTATTCAGTAAATCCAAGAGTGAAGTGCAGTAACAGACAAACGGGTGTCCTCTCTTACTGATTTGATGGATTTAGATTGAAATCTGGTTGGTATGGATTACTGCAGTTTACACACTAACATTGCTATACTCTGATTGGGTGTACCCAGTATACCACATGCCAAGGTCTTTAAATTGTTACACATTTCACTGATTGATTTTTCCCTTTTGCAGAAAAAAGCGTAAGTTCATCGAAAACCACACAAAGTTATAGCGTTGCAAACTCCTCGGTTATCAGTGAAAGGTAAGTTGTGTTACTCAGCTACTTCCATTTTGTTTTTTTCCATTTGTAGACTATTGGCATTCAGGAAAACTAGCCACTTTCAAAAGTGTTTTTGAAACTCTGCAATGAGCAAGGACTTAGTAATAGTATATTATAGAAAACAGCCTTGCAAGGTTTGCTTTTTGTGCTTACGGTTATGTCTAGGCTGGTTTTTATTTAAATGTTTTTATTGGTAAAATAAAGGATGACTGGTGAAAATGATCCTTGTGTTTACTTTGTACGAGGCTTGTGAACAGCTTCCTGCCATTCATACAATGTCATGTATTTGTTGAGTACCCTCAACTCTGTTAAAAGTAAATAGATTCACGGATCAATAACATTCAATCAGTCATGACGGGGAAAAAACTAATTTTAATCATATGTCTACAAGGCAAGGTGTCTTTTACAGGAATTACCCCTGGGATATTGTGAAAGACAACTGAAATAATAGGCAGGGAGAAGTCTATAGTGTTCTATAGGAGATTACTTAGAAATCCTGGCCATCAAATGTTAACTTGAAAGCCCCACTGTGCTACATATTTGGAGCCCAAGCATTAATATTGATTTACAGACGGGGGTTACTAGATACTGGTACTCGGGGCACATGCCCCAAGTCCTTTACTAAGTTGCTTGAGTCTCCTTTGCGCTAGAAATGATGCATTTTATGCATGATCCAGTTATGGAATATAGTGTACATTTTTTTTCAATTAATCGTTTGTAATCATTTTTTTTTTTTTTGTAAGCAATGATAATTTTATTTTTTTAATTCAGTAATGTCATCATATTATGAGATTACGGTATTTAGACCAATTCATTTTTGTTCAGTTAAAAAGACTCGGATCCAAACCAATCATCATGGTATGCTACAAGCCCCTCAACATTTTAATCAGTGTGTCCAGATTTTTGTTATGGTTTACACACACACTTAAAATTAAACTAAACTCAGGAGTTAAATCTTAAAAACACATTCAAGTACCTTTTATCTATTAACAAAAATACATTTTTGTTAATAGTTAAGGTAGTTGAATGTATTTGTAAGAATTACCTCCTGAGTTTGGCGTCACTTTAAGCTCCAGACAAGTGACATGCCTAGCCTGAGATGATGTCATTAGTCTGCTGCAAGCAGGAGGAAGTCTCCTATCTTTGATGACTAACATTTTAGCAAGTCACAAGGAAAAGTTGCAGCAGGGGGCGATCTGGGTGAGACATGTGTATACAAATATTTTATTGGCTACTGCACAGGCACCAAGGTTTACATATTACATATGGGTCGGGATCTTAACCTAGCCATACATGGCTATCAAACAAATTCGTTCTTTTTCCCCCATCTATGCTAAACAGAATGGATGGAGGAATCTCCACTGATGGCCATTGTATTCGGCAGCCACGCCACCCTTAGCTTCCTGAATATACAAACAGTGACCCCATCTGATAGGAGACCCCATCTGATAGGATGCAGTCACTGTTCAGCCGATAATTTTCCATTCCATGGTGCTTTCCGAAATCTGCCAAAATTCAAGCCATCTATGGCCAGCATTAGTCCAGGAAGTAGATGTTGAGCTTGGACGCTGGCTTGCTAGGGGAAAAGGAAAATGAAGGTATGGTTAAAGTTAGAACTGTGGTCTCTTTGAGAGGTAACCCATATCTGAAAGCTTTACATTTGGACATTATTAAGCATGCTTTCACTTCATATGAAGAAATCTATTTAAGCTTAGGTCCACTTTATACAAAGGCACATTTCTTTGGTCAAATTACTCACTTATTTTAAAATGTTCTGGTCAAATGACAACACTACCTGCATGTATTACCAAATTTCCATTAAAAAGTAATATATCAAGTTTTGGAGTACAACACTTCTTAGCATATTACTGTACTAGTAGCTTTAGGGAACATATCTCATCTATGATAGTGAGCTGTACATTCCTACTTGTCCGATTCCATCCTATAAATTAAAAGCAGTAAAACTGTGAAGAAAAAAAAAACTTCACTAGTTCCCTGGCCTGTTACCACAAGTATGTGACAGCTTCTCCGCACCCTGTCCATTGAGATTCCTGTCACAAAGGAAATGCCACCTCCACCTCTCTTCAACTGTGAAGATAGTAATAACAAAATTATAAAGCACGTTTCCAATAAATCTTAAAAAAATAATAGAAACAAAACCCATCACCCACCCTCAAACCTGCTTTTCTGGATCTTCCAGATATCACTCTGACACCCACCCTATCACCATTTGTAGTGACGCAGATGACAAGACGGCCTGATTGATGACTTGGCCTGAAGATAAGGACAAGTCTTTCTAATAAAATAGATTTCTTTGTGGAAGTGTCTGCAGATGTAATACATTTCATGCACTGCAGATCAACAATATATCACTGTGACAGTAATTAGAGGGAAGAAAAGGTAACACTGAAATATCTATATCTTCTTACAGAAATACTGTACATAAAATATCCTTCAGGCGTGCAAATAAATAATTTAAATTCTCAGTGTGTTTGACAGAAATGTATAAGTGCAAGTGGAATGCTCTTATACCTTTTGTGTACCTCAAGTGTCTGCTGTTGAACGTTTTATTGTTTTTTAAACTTTGTATATTGCTCTATTTAAAAAAAAAAATAATGAATTCAGTGTCCAGGACTGAGATCCTTTGTTTTAATGGAGCTGGGCTTCCAGGCCCTGAGCAGCCAACCGCCAGCACCGTCACTGAGGCATGGGGGCAGTAATGTCATCCACCCAGGTGAACCGATACCAGAGCTTACTTGGGGTGGACTCCTGCAGTGTGGATTGGCAAATATGCCTTGCTGGGAAAGGGGGGAGAACTATCAGGAGGGGCTGTCACTTCCCTAAATGGGCAGGTGACAGTGTGTCTTAAATTCTATTTTTGTTCACTTCTCCTTTATACAGTCCTTGGGATAAAAAGTACATTTGCCAAATCTATTCTTCTTTGCAAATCTCTTTTCTGCAAACTGGACATGCCTAATTTTTCTAAACCTTCACTTTAAGGCTGGCCGTTCTTTGGTAGGATTTTAATTAGCCGAAATTCTTACAGTGTCATGTAACTAAAGTGCAAATTGAAGGTTAATCGAAATTTGGTTAAACCAGAGATGACAATGCACATAAATACCATTAGAAAAATGGTTACATTTACAATTGTAATGTTTGAGCTTTTTCAGTACAATTAAATGTAGCAATGGGTAAGGGGCCTGATGCATGATACAATAAGGGGCTACGTGATTCCTGGTGACAACCCATGATGCTCAGTTTGCAGAGCACACTGGCTGCATGAATATTAGCATCATGTGCATTACTGTCATAAGAGAAAGAAGGGTGCTGTATCACAACTCTAATTCAGCTTTTCTCAACCAGGGCCTTCCGGCTTCTGTGGGTGTCGTGCTTTGCTCAGTGTCATGCCTTTCCATTGTGCAGGCAGGCTCCTGATGTGAAGAAGGGAACTCTAATCTGAATTGTGATAGAGGGGGCTCCTTATGTAAAGGGGGATTTTGATGTGATGGAAACTCTTGATAAAATCCATATCGGACTCTATCTGGTGTGGATTTTGGTGGGGCCACTCATGAATTTTTAAATTGATATTTTTTACATTTTAAACTGGGGTGTCTCGAGATTTTGTATACTTTAAAAAAAAGGTGATGTGACTAAATAAAGGTTAACCGCTGCTCTAAGTCATCAAGCTGTTTGACTAAAGCAGTAGCAAGCAAACCCCAGCCTTTCAGCTGTGGTGAAACTACAAATCCTGTCATGTATTTGCCTCTGAAAACCATGCCTGCGGCTGTCAGTCTTGTAATGCCTCATGGGATTTGTAGTTGTACCACAGCTAGAGGGCCGGGGTTTGCCTACCCCTGGTCTAAAGTGTCCTTTCCTGCTCTTCAGTTTTATCCTATTGCGGAGCTGGTGCTCCTGTTTGGAGTTTAACATTTGCTTGCTATAACAGGTAAAATTGTAATATTTATAAATATCAGATCGGATTTAACCAAAGAAATAAAATGTAGACCTTTTTAGTACAAAAGGCTAGCCCACACGTTCTTGTAGCTCTCTGCAAAGCTCTGAGGACATTCCGCCATAAAGACATACAGATTGGTTATAGCTACATGTCCGTCCTTCTTGTAAAATCAATGGGCGGCTATACATCTCAACACATGTCAGTGGCCAGACATTATGATATATTGACATGTCTGTGACACAAGTTTTTCATGAATTTATACGAGACAAAAACGAAAGATCATGTGTGAGTATGCAGAAGATGGGTAGGTATACAAACACATATAATTAAAGAAGAACTATGAGGTGAGTGATTTCCACTCATCATAGTTAGAGCCGACATGTGACATTGAAACTGTCACACGCCAACTCTATAGATCGGGAAGTGAGCGAACACATACCGTCGCTTGCTCACTTCCCGATCGTCTCCCTGCAGAGATCGGTCACCGCTCCCCACTCCCCGCAGGGATTCCCCTCTCCGATCCTCCAGTGCTGACTGGAGGAATGGACGGGGAGGGGGCGAACACAACTGGCTCTGTATCTAGATAGGCAGAGCCTGCTGTCATGCAGCCTGCTGGGTGGATCTCAACAGTATTGTCGGGATGCGTCCCGGCTGCTTCGCTCTCAATAGCAATAGCCTCGCTATATACTGAGCTTTGGGTCACGGTAGGACTTTCGTACATGTCCTCCAGTAAAATGAAGAATGGAAAATGCTATACATCCAAGCCTCCATTTGTAGTTCTATTCTGAAATATCCTTTTTACTGTTCTTGATTTTACAAGTGGAATGGGAAATACTATATATAGTAATCCATTCGCTGAGTTTGCCTTTTTAAGGACTGGCTTGGGGTGGAGGTGGAAGACCAGACAGCAGCCCCAATTGCATGTCTCCCTGCAAGTCTTGAATATAGCACCTTTTATATGTGCCTTGGGCTTTGCTGTACGTGCGTCTGCATTTCCTTTTCTTCTCTGGAATGTTTGCATTTAATCGTATGGAAAGCCTGAGTGACACGGTTACAGGACCCTTGAGTGAAGCAGCTACTTCTAAGGGTTGATGCCTTTTTTCCATTATTTGGTTTACAATATATGTTTAATTTTCCTTTCAGCCATTAGAAAAATAGGAAAAAAAACTGTCAGTCTGTCACTTTTACCTGAACACAATTGTGATTATCGCACTGCCATTTCCTAAGCTAAACACACTGTGCAATGAGCCCAAAACACCCACTGAGAATTCAAATAAACTGCAAATTCCACTTGACGCAAGCAAAAAGTGCTGCGAGAAAAGATTGTTTTCATTACAAATTGTTCAGTCACATGCTTAGAAGATGTATAATGTAGCATGACAGATGATTGTGATCTGCAACGTCAAGCACTATATTGTCATGTACTTGCGTAGCCATAATTTAAGAGTGCTAGTGATGCCTCCATCAGTCAAAATATCTTTTATTGAGTACACAGTGCTAAAATCTGTTTCCTTAGTGCAACACCTTGGTATTTCATGGTTTAATTTCTATACTATATCTAGAGTCTTGTGCCTAAAGCTGGCCATACACCTTTTATATTTCCTGCGGGCTGAAAAAAAAAAAGATTCTTCCATCCATACTAAACAGCATGGATGGACAAATCTCCCGCTGGGCTTTTGTATTCTGACGGCGGCGGGAGTGACACTGTCAGAATAGCTGAAATGTAACTGCAGCTGAATTGTACATTTTCTGACCTACTGGATACCTGAATTAATTTTGATCCTGATCATGTGCAGACAGGGCCACCCACTGAACAAATTTAATTCTGTTCATCCAGAACCGTTTGAAATTGGTACAGTAAATGGGCAGTTTTAGTTCAGGTGTGATATTTTTTACCTTGATCGATTTTTTGCTGTATATATTTTTAGCAACTGCATCATGCTAAAAGAATGGTGATCAGCTTCTATAAGATGTGACCTGAAATGCAAGGTGCTAGTTAACAAAGTGTTCTGTATTAACATATGTTTCATATGTGTATATTGACCTGGAAAACAGCGGAATGCTCTCTACTTTAGCTCCCACAAGTGCACAATAAAAAATATTATTGGGTCTTGTAATGAGGTAACATAGATACATTTATTGTGCAACGTTTTAACAAGGCACTGCTTGAGAAAGTGAGACAGACGAGCAGAGCCTTGTCAAAACGTTGCACAATAAATGTATCTATGTTGACTCATTACAAGACCCGTGAGTGCCATTTGTGTCTAATTTGCCTTAGGTGCACCCAGGCAGTTTTTATTCTTTATCGGAGTGCGGTGCCCACCTTTTGGACTTTTTAGATAGGATATGCATCCTGGTTACAAAATCCACTGCATTGAATTTTAATAGAGTAATGGGCCCCATCTGCAGTGTCATAAGCAACATTGCCTTTCAATATCATTTGATTTTTATTTCAGCAGCCAGAAGGCAGCAAGCATCTCCTTTTTAAAGTAAAAATTCCCTGGGTGTTCATGCATACCTACAGCAGAAACCTGTGACCAAATTAATAGATTTCACTTTGGCAAAAAAATAGATTTAGCATGATCGCCAACATATGCAAATGTTCCTTTTAGAGCCCTGGTTCTCACCTGGTGGGTGGCGACCCAAAAGTGGGTCACAACCCTGTGTTCAGTGGGTTGCTGCGTGCCTTCCACTGTGCTAGGTGAGAGGCTCCTCAGCCTCCCCCTAGAACAGCACTGTCCGTTCTCTCCACAAGCCGTCATTCAAAGTATGCTGCCCAGCGCAGAGTGTCGGCTTGAGGTGGGGTAGGGGTATGGCTTCGAGGGAGCTCCATCAAGCATTGCTTACGACTCCCTCACGTGCCATGTACAGGTGCCTGTACCCAAGTGACGTCACATTCTGGCTCCTGGCACCTCTACGGGGCACGCAAGGGAGATATACAAGCAAGCTTGTAAAGGTAAATGCTGTAATGATGTCTAAAGTCAAATAGTTTTGTTCTAGTTTTGGATAAAGGAGGTAAGGGTTATAAACCCCATCAGGGTTTTTTTTAACTGCCTTTGTCCCATTGGGAAGATTTCTCTGGACTTACTGTCCCATAGACACAAGAGGAAGTGAGAGGTCTCGAATGTGAGGAAATAGTCCTGCCTCACTGCAACAAGTGTTCATATTCGCAGATTTCCCTTCTATTCCTGTTCCAGTGACAACTCAAAGTTTGGGATTTTTCCCCACTTCCAGTCCCAGTGACATTGGTCATCAGGTCGATTGGAGAGGGTTTTGAACCCTTCCTTACTATATCTAAAAAAAATAAAAAATACTTTAAAATAAAGAAAAATACTTTTAAATGATGTGCTGAGTGAAAATACACCATACTTTCCTTTATAATGCTTTTAAAAATAAGGAAATTGGACAGTTCATGTTCAGGGTTACTGTGGCTTACCATTGTGTGGTACCTTTTATTACGACTCATTGTTCACAATAACAAAAAAAGCAAAAATCATCAGTTTGTTTAATGAATCTGTTTTATTTGTATTCCAGCACAGACAGATATTTTGATGTCACCCCCAAATCCCAGTCTCCACCACCCGTTTTGAGTCGACAAGCTGAGAAGAAGCGTGAGCTGGTTAGGTCCCAGACACTGCCAAGGTCTTCCGGAACTCAAGTTCGCAAGGCTTTCTTTGAAAAGTTTGAGCAAGACAGTGGGAAGTAAGTGGAATATGTTACTGGCAACATTTATAAATGTTAACAGAATCACAAAGTATTAAAATAAATTCCATATTCACCCTTTTATGACCAGAGGCCATTAAGACTGGATGCCCCGAGCAAATTTAGTTGTTTTAAGTTGGGTATACACTGGTATAAACTATCTTTTTCATTCAGCCCACGAGCTTAACAAACAAAATATAACCGATTCCTCCATCAATTCTTATGTGCATTAATGCATGACCTCCCGCTGTTTGCAATGTATTCTGACAGCAACAGCTCTCAGAATACCCAAACAGCTAGCTGCTGATTGGCTAGCGGTTCTGTTCTGTTCGGCTAAGAATTTTCCAACCTCATCAGCTGATCAAGGGATGCCGGGCAGAAGAGTGCCGACAACTGCACCCACTGCACGAAATTTGTACTCTGTGTACCCTACTTTATCATGCATCGGATAATTACATAATAAATTTGAGTAATCCGCCTACCTAAATAACTTGCATATTGTTGTTTTGTAAACCAATGTGATCACAGATGTTTGTTTGTAATCAAATCTGGCTAGAGCTGGCGGTGTCGGTTTCAGCTGTCCATGTCCGTTCAGTTGCTATAGATTGAGATTTAGCTGCAGCAGGATTATAGATAGGACATTATAGGCAGCTTCTACAGCCTTGAATAGATATCAGTGTTGAGATAAGGGGACCCACTGCGAGACAGTTTTATTTTTTCATACTTTTAATTTAACAAAAAGCCACCAATAAAAACAAAGTTGCAGGCTCAGCTTAATAACCATGATAGCTGGTCATTAACAGAGAAAAAAATAATACATAGTGATGTTTCAAGGGAGTGTATTATTCAATATCCTTCCATGTTAAAAGCTAGTCACTTAAAGGAGAAGTATTGGTAGAGTAAAATATACTCTTCCCAATAGTTAGAGCCGGCATTGAGCACTACAGCTGTCACATGCCAGCTCTATAGCTCGAAAACTGAGCAATCACATACTGATGATTGCTCAGCTCATGGCAGACAGGGTTGCCTAGTCTTTTCATAAATAGGGAAACCTAAAGTAGTATATACACAGATTTTTTTTCTTCCTTCAACGTTGAACGAACAAAATATGCCAGATTCCTCCGTCCACGCTGAACAACGTGGATGAATGAATCCACCACTGTTTCTATCGTATTCTGACAGTGGGAGCCAGCCGCTGTCAATATACCCAAACGGTGCTTGCAGCTGATGGTTGACAAGCACCATTAGCCCCAAAATTTTCCAACATGTTCTTATCAACTTCTACCAAAGAAACAGGGTCATCACCGCAGCACATTTTGGAGGATTCCTGCTAAATCAGACGAAATGCGCTGCATGTGTACCCGGTATACATAGGAGCTTTCTGTCTTGGCGTTTTCAGCAAAGATCATTTAAAAAAGGTTGTTGGATGAATGGGAACATGCAACAAATATAAAGTAGGTGTTATCTAGGGCTGCAACCAACTAATCAATAAATCGATAATAATCAATGAGAATAGTTGTCAACTGTTCTCATTATCGATTAGTTGGTTGGGTCCCCTAGCTCTCTTCTCCATGCTGGGAGGAGGGCACGACAAGCAGTGGGCAGGTGCAATAGCCAGCCTGCTATTGGCTATTGCAATTTGAAATTGCCAATAGCAAGCTGGCTATTGCACCAGCCCACTACCTGCTGTAATTACATTCAGCTGCCGTCTGCGTAATCTTGCCACTGGCAGTTGTCATTCCCTGGCTGAAGCTATTCAAGCGCCATGTGCTTTTACAATACAATCATTTAAAAAGTAATTTTCGGTTTCGGCCTGACAAATTATGTTGCGGGAGGTAAGTTGCAGTGCCATTCGTTTCAGTGGCACCCCAAACGCGCCTCCCACCCACAGTGTGATCGCCAACGCTGGAACGCACAGTACTGTAATGTCGTGCGGTAGCAGTATTTTTTTTGTCTGGACCAGAACGGAGTGCGCTGGTGTGAACAGAGCCCAGAAATACCATAGGGATACATTGGGATGCTTTTTTGGTTTGGGTCCAAATTGTTCTGGTCTGGACATGGTATGAATAAGCTCTTAAAGTGACATTAAACTCTCGTTCTGCCCCTCTCCCCCCATGCTGCTGTAAACACTTACCTTATTTGATGCCTTTTGCTGCGATCATCCTCTTCCTTCCACTCCGTTCCGACAGTCCCTTCAGTGCTGATGCCGGTCTCGGATCCACCACAGACTCCTTGTGTCCCACGATGTCTGTCCAACGTGTACGCTCCTGGCTGCATCCATTCACTGTAATTGTGTTTTCTCCCCCTCTGCTCTACTGCGCATGCACCCGCACTCTTCGTCCTTCACAGCTGTTCGGGAGACGGGACTTATTCAGCCTGGAGCAAGCAGCGCTGGAACAGGTAAGTAACTAGGCATTTGTCTCATTTTTATTTTTCATGGGGCATATATCTACTGCTTGCTAGTAGTAGATATATGTGAAAAAAAAAGGATTTGAATTATACTTTCAGCTAAAGGCCGACCGTTTTTCAAATGGTTATTAAGGTAGATCGTACTGAATTGTTCTATACTTTACATTATGGTAACTTAATTATACAAATAGCAAAGTGCAATCAAAGTGTTCCTCTTGGCAATGGAATCTTTGTTCTGCAAAGCTTGAAGTGTCTACATATTTAAATGACAGGTCTAGGAGTAGTAAGAGTGGATTATCTCCTGGGTAAATATGTACTGGGCATTAATCTTGTGTGTACACGCTTACACTGCTTTAGTTGTGTTTTATAATATTTTTCCTTTCTTTGTGTCAAATAATTACATAGGCCCACAGCCTTAATAGAGTGTCACAGTTTGTAGATGCTTTAATAGAGTATTACCACTTATAAATACAGGCTAATTCTGACCTTCCTATCAGTGTTGGATTATCATTGTGCTCATTCCACAGTGTTTATTTCACACAGCGCCTAATAATGTTAATGTTATGTGAACCATCTGTAAGTTTGGCCTCATGGGTGGTCTAGTTTTTATTCTTCCCGGTGGTTTTATATATTTTCACATATGTGCATAGTACATGATCACCATTTATAGGATGTTGTAGTAATAAATCATATGGAAATGTACAATTGACTAATCCCATTTGCTTCCCTTTTTTTTTTAAATGTAGAGCTCATTACTCATGAGCCTTTTCCAAGGGTTAATATATTTTCTGTGGCGCCGAGTCATTTCAATGGTATGGAAGGTATAGCCTAATTAACCCTTCATTTGATTAATCACAGAGTGTTGACTGTGAATTCAGGGACGTGTTCGTTCATAGCTCCCAGACTGGGGGAGTCACGGTCCATTGACAGTGTATGTCATTGAGCGGTTCTGCTATGATTTCCTTGCTTACTCAATTATTGATTCTTTTTACGGAGATCTAGGCACAGGGTTTGTAATCCAGTCTTATCCAAGCACTGCGTCCGTTGTAAGAATGCACATTTTGTATGCGGGGTAATTATGGGACATGAGCTGATTTCATTAACATTTAGCAGTGACACTTGGCACAAAAAACTTTCCCCGCTGACTTTGATGCGCTTTATCAGCAGTGTGCATAGAACTTTTTCATGGGAAGCAGCTGAGTTTACTTGTTCTATTATCTGCAATGTTTTGGTTCCTGATCTCTACAAAAGAGCAGAGTGCTTTACTTTTATTGTACACCCAGCTTTCTTTTGTAGCATCCTGTCCTTATCAAAAACCTAATTTCATTAACTTCCTGAGTAGATATTGAAGACCAACTTAAAGCAAATGTAAAATCCTTACTTTCTATGTTTAATTACTCTTCTCCTTTAAAAAGAATTCCCATCATCCTCAACACACTAGTTGGCATTTCCATCTAGGCTGGCTGTGGGAGTTTGCGTGGGTATTTCAGTAGGGGTGAATCATACAAAATCATATTTAGAGGCAAAGCAGGGTTACACAATGCAACAGAAGTTAGTGGAAACAGTGTTTAGGAAGCAGGGTTTGGGTTTAGATAAAGGTCAACAAGTTTTACAGAGGCAGAGTTTTAACTCTTGAGAAATAATTGAAAGCTTAAAAAAGACAGTTTTAGACATTCGTATTATATAGTGGTCTGTGGCAGAACCAAGAACTTGCTACCGGGAAGTGGAAAACTATATACAGACACTGGCCATTACCACTGCTTTAAATGCTATATTTATCCTTGCTTTGTCCCTGGATAACTTTACCTTATCAGAAAATAGCCATGTCTGTTGGTATGGGCTCTTTTAGATGCTTCATAGGTACATTTCACAGGAGGTTTCCTTATTAGACAAGTAATGGAATGCCTCGTGCAATGCAAGTCTGGAATCTGCTGTCCTCGGTGCCCCTCCTGTTATGTGAAGTGTCAATCCCTAAAGGTCTATAATAGAGGTTGCCATACGTCGGCTATCCAGCTGTGGAGAAACTCAAATGAGGCATTGCAAGCCACCAGGATGACTTCCA